TCCGGTACTTGTGCAACTTGGTCCCAAACTTCACAATTTTATACGCTTTAAGTCCTTTTTCCTTTCCTTTTCTTGGTGTCTTTCTTGTAGGGAGTTTAGCCTGCAAAAGTGAAAATTACACAATTATGCTTAGAAATCGACTCAATTTCAATTATAATTAGATCCAAAAAGTGCCTAATAAGTGTGTAAAAACACACTTATCAATGACATTTATTCTTAATTCAAGATTCATAACATAATGTAGTGTTCGATCGAATTCTTCTATTGTATTTAATTTACCCTCACTCAATTTCTAATTGAGCCTATTTAACTAACTCAATTTCATATCTCTATGCGAATCAACTTTAGTTAAACGAAACACTAGTTCTAAGAATTTATATTATGATCGCAATAATCAGTATATGTATCTCTACACGTTATACTAATTTACCAGATTTTATTATATGATCTAAATCTCAAACTCACCTATCGATTTGTAAGAGACTCACACAATCATCAAATTATTGATTAGGTAATTTCATGAATTAAACTCATAATAAAACGAACACATAAATAAATAAATCACATCAATCTTGAATAGAAAAATAAATGATCACAAGTCGACTAAATTGTTTTCCCTGATATAAAAATTAGTTAATCATATTGAAAAAATAAAAATGCGCAAAAGTGGAAAGATTAGTAAACTTTTTTCGAAATCAAATGAATTCGGTCTTAAACATACGCGAGTAAGATAATAAAAGAAGAAGATGACGATGATTTCTTCTCTCTTTTATCACTTAGGAGTTGTGTGTCAGATCATACCTAGTCTGTTAAAATCTAGGAATGTACACGAACAATAGATTGTGAAATTGTAGAGATGGAATAATGTTTTTGGATTTAGGAGCTGGATTTTTGGTTTTTAATATGTGTGCTGTGATGCCATTTTTTGTGGAAAATGGAGCTTCAGTAGTGTTGTTATTTTGAGTAATTAATGGATATTTAGTAAATGCAATTTTCAGTAGTATTGCTATAATGATTTTGACTTCCAATGTATTTGATATGCAATGAAATGTTTTTACTGATATATAGACTTTCAATCTCTTGATTTGTTCTTGTGTTCTTACTTACTGGTAGTTCATGTGCACCGTAGGATATGATTGTAGTGTTTATGTAGGGATGACAACGTGGGAATATGTGACGTATTAGTCATTCCCACCCCCATCCTATCGGGTATTTTTGCCACATTCTCCTTTCCCTATAATACTAGGTTAAAGCATGACGGGACGGAGCGGGGTAGGTCACCTTCCCCATTTATCGTCCTGTTTTATTTATTTTATTTTCTATCTTTAGTTAGT